GTGAAGCTGCTCTCTGAGGCACTGAAGAGTCCAAACTGTCAGCTGGAGATACTGAGGTAAAACTTTAAGAGATCACTCAGTGAATCTAACATTTAACATGGCTTAGTGGTTCTTATTTATTTTATCCATCTGTAGGTTGTCTGGCTGTATGGTGAGAGAGGAAGGCTGTAGTTATTTGTCTTCAGCTCTGAGTTCAAACCCCTCACACCTGAGAGAGCTGGATCTGAGCTACAATCACCCAGGACCATCAGGTGACCAGCTGCTCAAACACAAACTGGAGGATCCAAACTATAAACTGCAGATACTCAAGTATGTGGGGGCAGTGAGGGGGTTTTACTCAAGATCACTAATACTGATCAACTCAGTTTGGTTCAGGGTTTGAAATTAACACCCACTAACCTGCCAAATGTGGGTGAAATTAACCATGGCAGGTAACACCGTCAACTCACTACCCAATTTGGCCAGTTATTAATAAATCATGTGCTGTCTCTTTTCATGCCATCATTATCAGATCCTTTCCTTTAGGTAGAGCCTCCAGAATTAGCAAAACAAAGCGTAAAGAGGCTCACACACTGGACCAGAAGTGCTGCATTGTTAAAATTCAAACATAATGTTTTCAGTGAATATACTTATACTGGTACCACACAGCATCAGCAACCAGTGTTGGGAGTAACGCATTACAAAAGTGATAATATTACAGTAGTATATTACTTTTTGCTGTAATGTAGTAATATAACGCATTACTAATAACATTTGGGTAATATTATTACTCGTTTCAATCTCAGTAACGCAAGTTACAACAACTTATTTTAACTCAAAATGAAGTGGTGAATTTACCAACACCGCAAAACAGCACCAGAGAAAAAATTCCTCGGGTAAAATAGTTTGTCTATTTCCTGTTGCTGGAATTAGATGGTTGAGATGACTGCAGAGACGGATTCTACATTTGTGAGATGGACACACTCCTGTTATTTTCAGTTAATCTGAGAAAAGGATAAGAATGCATAGTCAGGTGCAATATGTGTGACACCAAACTCTCAACATTGAGAAATAGCACGAGTAAAACCTGGAAACACCTGGACTGGTGCCACTAACACTAAGCTATCGGAGAGAGCTGCGGGGTCGGAGAAGAGAAAAAGGCAGCTGACGAGCACAGACAAGCAACAAAAATTAAGTTTAACTAAAAATAAAATTTGTTTTTATTCAATCATAGTGTTTATATACAATGAATATGCGAAATATTTGACTTAAATAGCCTAATTAACAGATTAGCAAAACGAAAGGAAAAGACTGAGAGATATGCTGCTGAGTTTGGTTCATATGCTATTTGTGTGGCGCGGCGCTCTACGAAAGTCCACGGAAAGGAAACCGACATGACAGAAATAAAAATAAACACACACATTGCAGTTTCGAATGATCTGTATGACCAAAAATTTAGTATTTTTTTTGTTGTTTGTTTCCGCTGTTCGATCGCGCCGGCGCCTCACGGACACACATACAGCATTGCAAACATTGCAGCCTGTTCATTATCAGAATAAAATAGTCAACCAAACGTATAGATAGATACACTGGTTAATTTAAATAGTGCATACTGCGTACAATCTGTGCCGTTCAGCCTCAGTTGCTCATGTGACGAGGATGTTTTTAAGCGCGTTAAGTAAGCCTGGTTTACATAATAAATAATAGTTTAGCATTCAAATACATCGCAAATATGAACACATTTAATGGATTAATGCCGAATGAGAGAGCTAGGCTGCCCGAGAACGCCTTTGCTTTCAGTTTCGCATTGAATTAGCCTATTCGTTTTGGCTTGTTTAGCAGCTTATATTTTTCATTCTTGTTTTCTTCTGAAACCGTTCAAAATAGTCTATAGGCTAGGTATTGTGTTTATTGTTTGTACATTATAACATTTCGCTTTATTTACTGGTGTTATTTATTATTATTATTAATGTAATAATGCGGTTTGTGCTTATCTGTGTTTAACCTAAACTACAATGGTATCTAAATATGATTTTATAATTGTATGCTATATAGACCTACCCCATTACCCTCCACTGGATGTAGAATGGGCAGCAATAAACTACATTTTGGCATTTTATAATACTTCTGTGGATATTTTGGTGAAAGTAACTCAAAAGAAGTGTAACGCATTACAATTCAGAGACAGTCATATTGTAATGTAATTAATTACTTTCAAAAAACAGTAACTAGTAATATATAATGTATTACATTTTGGAAGTAACTTGCCCAACATTGTCAGCAACACCAAACTATGACTTCAGAGGTGGTTCAAATGGCACAGAATGTAATTTACATTGTTTTCCATTAAATTACATTGACAATGATTTGGCACAGATTTAATGTAATGACTTCACCCTAGGCTGCAAGATCTATGTAATGTGCATTTTGCACTAATGAGTTTCTTTTGTTGCAAAACTTTCTGCATTTCTAATAATCATCACCCTTTCTTTTTCCATTTCCAACACTTACTTCAAACTCGTTGAAGTACGGTACTAACCTCCTTGCTATTGATGCATAGCAATTTCAGCATAATTTATCATAATGGCATGATATTTTGGGACATGGATTTTGTTATCATTATTGTCTTGGGAGTGAGAACAGGTTGGATTTTTTGGCTTCAATTGAGGAGAGGCTTCAATAAGCTCAGTTCAGTATGGAAACAGCAGATCACTTTTTGAATTGACAGTCTGTTTACTAATCTTCAATGTGTTTACCAGTGAACCTTTATTTTGGATTGAGATATGTTTGGATATGTAAGGGAAACAGGTCAATAATTTAGCTCAAAGGGAATCATTTAAGATTTTAAAGGGAACTCCACCATTAATATGCAAGGGAATTAGGACAGAATCACTGTTTTACGGCGGATCACTGAGACGGCCAGCGATTCAGTGAACGAGCCGTATGACAGCAATTCTGCAATGGATATCTATATCCAAAATATAGTGAAAACACTATTAATTAGCATAGTAACAAGATCGGCAGTTTAAGACATTAACTTGTGAGCACAAAACACAAGATACTTCTCTTTTCCATATAAATAAGGCTTTATTGGATAAATCTAAGACATATAAACTAATCTAACACACGCATTCACACACAAGTTGCAGAAAGAGAGAAAGTGAGGAAAATAATTAGTTTAAGAGAATGAAAATGTGAAATCCCAAGTTTACAGCAATATGTGCCATTGTATAGATCTGAACAACCATCAATCACTTAATTAACCCTCGCACTGAGTTCCTCAATGAGGTTAAAATTTAGATTAACTGCCCCAGTTCAGTTTAGAATCTGGAGGTACTTGCTTTCTGTGTTGCGGGGTTCCCTTTCTTGTCTGGTTGCTGAAAGGGGTTTCCCGAGGTTGCTGATTGGCTGGAGGTTCAGTCTTGGGAAGCCAGTGGTTGGGCGTTGGCTGGCGACGCGGAGCTGTGGTCTGCAGTTGAAGGGTAGACAGCACTCTTCGGAGATGCGGCGTTCGGCTTAACTCAGAACACGAAACTCTCAACGGAAAATAAAACAAACTAAAGAAATAGAAATAGATGTAAAGTTTGATGAGACCAGGTGGCGTTTCTTCTCATGGTTTTGGAGGAGCTGGCGTGTAAGCCAGACCACGCTCAAAACTAAAGAAGCATGACTAGGAGTGAAAAGCTAAAAGCCGCATGGCTAAAAGCTAGACACAAGAAGTCAGACCCGCAAAAAGGCAAAAGGCAAAAGACCAAAAAGCGCGCAGTTTGATGGTGTCCTGAGTATTTAAACCAGGCTGTTTAACACACCCAAATGGTGTTTCGACCAATTGTAGCTCGGGGTGTTGCAATGTTTCTCCTTCCCATTCATAAATCAACTGTTATCTCATCATTCACATGACCTGCGTTTTTCCCGCTCTGGTAGAGTATACATTTTGGACATGATTTCTTATAATAAGAATATGATACATTTGACCAAGTATTGATTGGAAGAAACGTTTCAAGCATGAATTCTTAAACTCACACATACCAAGCATGAATATGACCCCTTAAGCTCTTCAATAGTTATTAACAATACATACACAATAAATGATTAAGACATGATGGTTAAACATGTGGGTTAGATACATGATATGGGGTTAGATATATAGCAATGGTTAGTTGCTCGAGTCCTTTTAGTGTCATTTAGGTGCATGGAAATGAAGTTTCTTTGGCATTCTGTGGACGTAAGGAGACCAGAGATTAAAATGTCTGTAAGGAATTTTAGTCTGTCTGTTCTTGTCGTGAAGTGGGGGAAGTCAATTTACGAGGAGCTTGTGACTGTAGTTACTATCGGGTGATAGTCATGCGGTCATCTCTTTTGACCATTATTCTTATTCATTATTCAGTGACTTGATAACTTGCCCCAAAATTTGACAATCTCCTTGGACTTGTCAATGTGTTCTTTTGTGTTAATGTTGAAGACTGTTCTGTGACTGTTCTGGGGCTTAGGTTTAGGCTTGCTTCAGAGAGGCTGGGGTCTGATTTATGACATCCTGTTGTCAGGGGCCTCTGTGGAATTTTTGTGACTCCTCGTGCCTCAACTCGGTTTTGACCAAATCTTAGATTGTCTGATTCGGTCTGATATCCTACAGATATTACAACTTACAAAATAAATGCTGTTTTATGAGAGAAGTTGCTGAGAATATTGCAACAGGTAGGACTTATATTTTCATGCAGTCTGCAAACAAAGCTTAACTATCGCAAAGTGAAAATTATTTTAAGGTAGTTTGTTCCAGCATCTTGAAGATATTGCCACATTTATGGATTTAATCTGTTTATTTTCTGTCTTTTTGCTTGATCTGTCTTTTGGAGCTCTGTTAGAGTTTATTAGAATTTTGCATAAACCTGAATTTGACTCCTGTTTTCTCAGTTTGAATGCTTTATGTTAAAACTGTATTCATTGATTTTAAAATGCTCACTGATATTTTTGAGCATTCTTGCACACTTCAAATCATCACACATTATTCATCAGTGGCTTATATTTGTTTCTGTTTAGTTTTGACCATGGAGACCCTTTGAGAATCATACCAGGACTGAGAAAATGTAGGTCTTTTTTCTCTCTTACACACACACACACACACATACATTCTTGTATATGTGGCTTATAGGGACTCTCCATCGGTGTAATGGTTTTTATACTGTACAAACGTCTCAGGTTATGTATGTAACCATGGTTCCCTGAGTAGGGAACGAGACACTGCGTCCTCTAGGGGTCGCTATGTGGGATGCCTCGACGTGACCCGTGTACCCGCATACATTAAAAAAACACCACCAACATGTTGGCCTGCGACAGCCTATGACATCACTACCGGTGCAACTGTAGTATAAATAGGTGAAAAAACACCAACAACATGTTGGCCGGCGACAGCCTATGACATCACTACCGGTGCAACTGTAGTATAAATAGGTGCCGGGAGAACACGTCATCCTCTTCTCCGTCTGAGGGGAGAGATATCAACAGAGACACACTAGTTGAGTGGAGCCCAAGGCGAGTACTGGGGCTTAAGCCAACTCAAAGAAAGGGAACAGATGTCCCTCACAGATGCCCAGAAGTACTGAGACAGCCAAACGGGAGTGGCAAGCTCAAAGACAACCCTCTCAGGCGAGGGGAGCACTGGCTGGCGATAGCACTTCACAAGAAGGGTTTCTCGCAGAAACGCCACTCAGCGAGAGGGGATATCCTGATTCACAGGAAGCTCCTTGGGGCGAACCTGGAAAAGGGCGTCCCAGTCAGGGCAGCCTGAAAAGCATAAGCCCAGCCCGGACGTCCAGGAGAATTGCAGTGCTGTGCCGGGGACCTGATGACCAAGAAGGCTCCTGCAGAAGCCTGTGCTCTGGCCACATGATCCAAGAAGCATGAAGCCGGAAAAAGGGCTATCATACAGTCTGGATCCAGCATCGATGAGTGAGGTCATCACTGCAAAAGTCAAGAACCCGGTTCTGAGTCCAGCAGAGGGGGTGCTCACCAAGGACCTACCCTAGAAAAGGACAGAAACACACATGTCCCAGAAACACTGCAAAGAAGGCTAGCAGACGGATTCACATAACCACCAGCGCATTTTATATATTTTTAAAAAAAGCAAAGCCCGAAGAAGCCTCTAGTCCGGACCATCGGTAAGGTGGTTACTATGTAAGACACAGAACCAACCGAAAACATTATAGGTCCAGCATAAGAGACTGCAATGCAGGTGCAGGAGGTTCCTACCTAACCTCGGTCAGGTGGAGATGATGGTGTTTACAGGGGAATTAGGAAGGGGAAGATGAGGGCAGATGTTAAACCCCCCGAAGGAGATGAGTTGATGTTGAGGTATCACTCTGGTCCGGACGAGAGTGTTGGGAACGCCTCATCTGGATCACCTCCCTCAGGTCTTGCCTACCTTCCTTTGACCTGCGATTCCTCCTAGCCCTACCCGCAGGTGGGGAGGAACGCAAGACGTGACACTAACCTTCTGTGCCCATCTCTGATCCTCAGACCGAGGCGGGCCAGGACTCCATGGTTGTTCGGGCTCAGACCTGGACCTTCGTGGAATGAAGGTTTTGAAGGCCGCTGAACGCGCCTTCGCCTCCCTGAACTTCTCAACCACCGTCTCGACGGAGGTACCAAAAGGTTTGGAAGGTGAAACCGGAGCATCGAGGAGAAAGCCCCTCTCTTTCTTCCCGATATCTGCCAGGTTCAACCACAGATGTCTCTCCGTTACCACCATGGCCGCCATAGATCTACCCATAGCAGAGGCGGCCTGCTTAGTAGCACGGAGAGCAAGATCCGTGGTGTGGCGCAACTCAGCTACCTCATCAGGAGAAAGGCCCTCCCCTTTATCCAGGTCTTTCAGTAGATCAGCCTGATACGCCTGAAGCACCGCCATCATGTGCAATGAAGCAACAGCCTGACCTGCTGCTGCATATGCCCTGCCATTTAAGCAAGATGTATCCTGAAGGGGCTTAGATAGCAAGGATGGAATCTTGAGAGTTGATGTCTCACCCATAGAGCGATAGCTAGCCAGCGTCTCTTCTACAGGGGGCATATTCTCATAGCCGCTTTCACGCATCCCCTCGATGTTGACATAACTCGTATGCTGGAACTGATGGATGCGTGAAGAAAACGGCCTCCTCCATTCTTTCTCGACCTCCGCATGGAGATCAGGAAGAAAAGGAAGGCTCACTTGAGCTGGGAAGCTATGGTCAGACAGATAACGCTCGTCGAGACGACCTCGCGGTGCCACCTTCCTGGCCCGCTTCCACGGCAAGCCAAGCCTCGCCGTGGCGTGATCCATAACCTCCAGTAGCTCATCATACGCAGGGCAGGAAGATTGGGAGGGCTCAGCCTCAACTTCTTCGCCCTCCTCAGACATCTCCTGCTCTTCCTTGGCCGAACCCAGCAGAACACTGGTCGCTGGATCAGATGATGTTAGGGAAATCACATCATCATCCTCCAGCGGCTCACCCTCGTCCACGGCCGACGAGCGCGAGAGGGAAAACCCTCCTTAAACTCATCGGCCAGATCTGCCTGCGATCCCCACGACCTCATTCTCCTTCGTTCCTGAACCGGGGTACGCACGCACTGTCCTCGAGGGGGTAATCTGCGTTCACTGCGAGAGTTTTTTTCTATGTAAAAGCTCCGCTCTCGTCTGTCTCTCTTTTCGAGGAAGGACTCTTTGCCCAAACAAAAGAGCGCAAAGGTCATGTGAGTCATCAGGTGTCAAATAACGAAGACACGGATCCACACATCTCCTAAACGTCTTGCTAGTGCTTGCCATAATAAGGGAAGAAAGATTGCTCTTACCACCGGAATGCACGCTTCAAACAAAACAGTCACTGAAGACGAAGAAGAGGATGACGGTGTTCTCCCAGCACCTATTTATACTATAGTCGCACCAGTAGTGACGTCATAGGCTGTCGCCGGCCAACATGTTGTTGGTGTTTTTTTGAATGTACAGTATGCTTCAGACACGGGTCACATTGAGGCATCCCCCATAGCGACCCCTAGAGGACGCAGTTCGAAGTTCCCTTGAAAGGGAAATTAATGTTCTATCCCCTTACCCTCCGCCTACCCCTCATACAAAATTTTCAGCATTTTTAGATTTTGAAATAATCACTGTTTAGTATGTTTTAACCAATTTGGTTTGCAGAGAGGGTCCTCATAAACCATGTTTACATTGAAATACCTGTGTTATCAAATTTGTCATTTATATTCCACATCAGCCATATATGCCAGAACACACACACACACACACACACACACACACTCAGAGCTCTGAAACTGTCCTTAATGTACTTGTGATGTCTCTTCTTGTGTTCAGATGCATGTTATCTCACACTGGATCCAAACACAGCACACACTCAACTCATCTTGTCTGAAGACTACAGAAAGGCAACACACGTCGAAGATCATCAGCCGTATCCTGATCATCCAGAGAGATTTGAGCAGCATGAGCAGGTTTTGTGTGGAGAGAATCTAACTGAACGCTGTTACTGGGAGGTTGAATGGAGTGGATGGGCTTATATAGCAGTGACATATAAAGCAATCAACAGGAAAGGAGGAAGTGAATCTTGGTTTGGATACAATGACAAATCCTGGAGTCTGTACTGCACTGAAAACAGATACTCTGCCTGGAATGATAATAAGAAAACTGACATACCAGCCCCTTCATCCTCTAATAGAGTAGGAGTGTATGTGGATGTGTCAGCTGGCACTCTGTCCTTCTACAGCGTCTCTGACACACACACACTCACACACTTACACACATTCAACACCACATTCACTGAACCCCTCTATGCTGGATTCAGAGTATTTAAATCATCATTGTCTCTATGTCAGATTAAATAATCTGCTGTGAGAAACAACTGAGACATCACAAACAAATGGTCTATTATTTCAGAAACTTATATTTGTCCCATTTTTTCTTACATAACTCAACTTACAAACATTAGAACATTTTGATGCTTTCAGTGTTGCTTTTTGCCTTTAGCTAGCAATGGTGCTACGGCTAAACAATGCTAAACATTGAGCAAATCCATTTCCCCAAGTTGCAGTATATGCATTTAAAAGTACTATACAACGCCATGTTTGAAATAAGAGTTTGTGTGTGTGTGTGTGTGATTTTCAATGTGATTTCCTACTGATCAATGTATAATGCTGTTAAAATCTTATTAATGATATATATATTGTTACTTTAAATGAGAGAGTATTGATAGATAATTTTAGTGTTGCTGAAGATTGTTTTGTTGTAAAGTCATTTTTGGCTCACTCTATTCAACACAGTTGTTACTGCTAAATTATCTGTTGTTAAAACTATAATTCTGAGCAAGTCGTGTTTTGTTTTGTTGCTACCTTGGCATGTTACACTTAATAGATTTTTTTTTTGAATTTGTTAAAACATTTTGTCACGTAACCTAAAAATGTGGTTTTATTTAGGTCAAAATAAAATACAAGCATTATTCATATGACTGTATATCATATGACATAAGCATCAGATCAGGTGAAAATGTATCTTTAATGTAATAGCTGCACTCTAAACATTGAGATGAAACAGGCGATGTACTGCAGTGTGTGATTACAGCATGTGTTCAGACAGACGTCTCCTCTATTTCATGTGTCTTTCTGATTTCTCCTCTCATCTCTCAATCTGTTTTCATTCTTCATCTTCATTGGTTCCTCTCTCATGTACTAAATATGGACGTTGTTGGAGTCTCTGCTGCTGGACGGGGGTCTCTGAGTCTGTGTGTCCAGGACAGTTTTCTCTCTGTGGGGCATGAGTCTGTCCATGTTCTGTCTGGATCATCTGACCGCTGTGAGACGACTGACACATGATGAAGACAGAGGAATATGTCACACACACACATGTATCCAATCAAAGTGTGCTGTATCTTTAGTAGGCAATACTGACCACTTATCACTTGTATTAAAAACAAAAGAACTGTTTACTGAAGATTTGAGTAGTGTTATACAGTAAGGTAATCACTTCTGCAGCGCACACACAGTGGCTGCATCCTCCATGGTTATTTTTTTATCTTAACCATCATGGAATGGAACGCACAGGATTGTGGGATATCATAGGCACCGAAGTATACATCTAATGCTGCCTTCTGCCATCAGATGAAAGCATCTCAGGAGACCGGAAGTGGAGTTGTCATTGGAATTGGATGTGCCTTGATGCCTTCCTACATTGGACTGCTTCCTCCAAAGGCAGCATTATTCAGCATTCGGCAGCAGCCATTTAATCAGTCATGCAGTTATCTTAAAAAATTATGGCGGACTAGATTTTCTCATTAAAACATACGTGTTCAAACATTGTTGTTGTAATCAGGGTATTTTTGTAGATTTAGAGACATTAACAGATGGACGTGAGTTTTCCTTTTTTTATCAGACTGTTTTGTGTGTGTAGGTTGTCAGGCTGTATGGTGACAGAGGAAGGCTGTGGTTATTTGTCTTCAGCTCTGAGTTCAAACCCCTCACACCTGAGAGAGCTGGATCTGAGCTACAATCACCCAGGACCATCAGGAGACCAGCTGCTCAAACACAAACAGGAGGATCCAAACTATAAACTGCAGATACTCAAGTATGTCAGGCAGTTATGCAATTTCGGTCAACTAACAGTGGTCTCAGGTAACACAGAAACCACAGACCACTTTAAAAGTGGGCTGACTGTTACTCTCCATTCCTGGAAAAATCTCTGGTATTTCTCATGTGAATCTATGTGAGAAAAGTTTTTTTTTTTTGCTGTTTGTCGAGACAGGCCTCTTGACCAAAGGCCTTGTAGTTTGTGCACCTCATTATGAGTGTGTTGTTTAGTTTGAGTGTTGCTATGAAAAGATCACAACAGATAGCAAGAAACTTTGTGTAGTGAGATTCAAGAAAACAAGCATATACTGACAAACCAACACAGCAAACACTGGGGCTTAAATTTACTGGATCACTAGATAACCAAGACCAAGGTGAGAATAGTGAGGGACTGATGAGGAAAACCAAAATAACCACAAAAGACAAAATGTGCTAATTTAACAGTCTTCCGTCATACTATAACATTTTTGTTTGTGTGTATGTTTTTGTCTCTGTTCAGTTTTGACCATGAAGGACATTTCAGAATCAAACCAGGACTGAGAAAATGTAAGTCCTCACACACACACACACAAAAACACTCCTGTGCATATTTAATTATATCATATGATGTGATCTCGCTTATTGTGTTCAGACGCCTGTGATCTTACACTGGATCCAAACACAGCACACACTCAACTCAATAGAATAGGAGTGTATCTGGACTGCTCTGCCGTCACTCTGTCTTTCTACAGCGTCTCTGACACACACACACTTACACACATTCAACACCACATTCACT